TTCTAGGAGGCTCAAAAAGTATGAAACACCATGAGAGGCAAAAATCTGAATCACTCTGGAAAAAGAGTAGCAGAGGCTGCTCAAGCACACCATATGGGAGTGAGTTTGGCAACATGGTTTGGGGAGAGGTGATCTGGATTCAAGCGTAACTGCCAGAACGACTTTAGCTTTCTTAAACACTCACCTGACTAAATGTCAGGTGAGAGCCTGTCATCTATTTCACTCATAAATCCAGCGCTTTAATTCTCCGGTGGCCTAGTTACTTCAAGAGCTATTGCACAATTGTATCCAAATATTTCAAGCAGGTTTACTTTTGACTCACCTGAAAAATTATAAATAAATGTGCGCCATGTCCGCTTTTTTATGAGGGACAAGTTGTGAAATCAAACGAAAATAGTAAGATTTCATAATGTCCAAAAGACTATCAAATGCTATCCTGAGAGTCAGAATCAATCTAAAGTTGCCAGGTAAAATGGATTTAAGCAATTGATAGGCTGATAAAAGTGAAAAATTAGGACTGATTTTGACACATCAGATGGAGAATGGCACAAGCAATCCTAGCTGAAGAACGCCCAATTTTATGCCTCCATTGATAGCCAGTCAGCCAAACACCAGCTTCCTGGCCTCAGGGAGCTTGCCTGCTGAATCTGGACCCCCAGGTCACTCTGCATTGCACCCTCAAGTACATTTCAGTGACACGAAAGGCTGGGAGGCTACAGAGCATTCCAGGTTCCAAAATGTTAGTGAACTCATTTCCCGTTAAAAATAAAAACAAGCTAATCATCGTTAAGCTTATTTTTCAAGCTAGATTGCAAATGTCTTTTCAGCTCATGTCGTAAGTAATTGCCTCGAGGGAAATACACGCCCTGCCTTCCAACCAAGCAATTGTCGCAAATACCTTTTGCTAACCGACCTGCTGCTACTCTGGGGTGGCTGGAGGGGTCCACAGCCTGCTCTGGCTTCCAGGCCCCAGCCGCCGCCCCCCCCTTTGTTCAGTTGCTCTTAATGGAAGCCCTCACTTGCCCTGTGAAGACGATGGTGCTTGCTTAGGGCTCACTCTGGCCTCGGAGATCAGCAGTGAACCGGAAGATTGAGTGTGAACCTACCGTGAGATGATACCCGCTGGCATCTCGTGCTGGCCTTTTTGTCCTCCCAGCCCGGACTGGCTCCCTGGCCGTGCTAGAAGCATCCATGATCCCGGAAAGGGTAGGCTGGAGAGACGACAGATGAAGGCACGGAGGCAGTGGGAAGACCAGGAGGGCTGGACAAAGCATGGGCTTGTGGGAGGGGGTTGCACAGCAGCAGTGGGGAAACCCTCAGGCGTTGTTAATCGCTTGTGAGGTGGGTCTTGAGGAAGGCTCCAGACCTGAAAATCCTTCCAGGATCCCCCAGGCGGCAGAGGTCCCATCTTGTCTGTTCCCAAAAGCTCCTTCCCTTTGTTCTTGGTCTCAGACAAAGTAGACAAGAGGCTGCTCGAAGACAGAGGACAGGTCTGCTTGGTCTCTCGTACCCCTGAGAGCCTGTGGGGACAGCACCTGGCGCCCCACAGTCTATCAACGCCTGTTTTAACAGCCAGCCCCTTCCCCCAGGAGCAGGCCCCATATGCCTCCCTTACAGAAACCTGTCCAGGTGGGAGCCCAGAACCCGCCTGTGCTTGGCATACAGCAGGTGCTCAAACAGCATGCCAGTGAACGGCGATAAGAAAAAAGCGGGTCCCTGGTTGGCTCCACTGTCGAGGTGCAGTGTGCGGTCTTCCAAAGCCCGAGTGCGTGACTTTCCACTGCGGGGTCCCTCCCACACCCACCGGCGTGCACGTGGGGTTTGCTGAGTCTCCATTGGGTGGAGCGTGTGCACGTGGAGCGTGTGCACGTGGAGTGTGTGCACGTGGAGTGTGTGCGCATGCGCCTGTGTGTCCCACCTGGCACCCTGGGATACAAGAGCAGCTCCAGGAGGCTGGACTGGAATAAGGGGGTGGGCAATTCATGAGTGCGTGAATGAATACAAATGATCTGTTAATATTGGGAATGCTTTGGTCTCTTTTTCTTTTTCTTTTTCTTTTTTTTTAAGAAATTTGCTGATGTTTTTGTGGCCAGGAATAGGCCCTAGGAACTTAACTCCTCTTTATAGCCATTAGCCTATGCTGATTGCTTTTCTCATATTTCCTTTTGCTTAGTCAGTTTCCAAGACCCTAAGATCCCGTCAATACTGTTAGGACTTCGAGTGCACTTTTTCCCACCTGCTGTGTGCTGGGGCGCTTGGTGCTCCTCTGGGCTGCAAATACAAGTATCCCGTTTTTGCAAGTTCAGTGTTAACCACTTGGCTTTTACAAAAGACCCACATTATCCCTGTTTTCACTGACAGAAAGAAATCCCAAGAGGATTTTTTCCTTTGTGACACAAGTCTACAAGCAAACATAACCTTTAGAGTTGATTTGGGGACATCTGTTACAGAGGCAGCAGCACACTGCGCAGACAGCAGAGCATGGCCACGAGAGCTCCCTCCCCGGGGGTATTTCTCACAGACTGTATGTATCATCTCAGCCCTGCTTTTACACGTGTGCTTTTGGACATGATTTGATAGGTTATTGGTGGGAGGTCTGCAAATGCTCACAAATTTTCCATATAAATTAATGGCAATTTTCCTTTGCATTGCACCATTTTCTCTTAGGAAAACTCTTACAATATTGCTCTTCCTTCAGCTACTGGGAGAAGCCTGCACGTATTTGAAAGAAGTGGTGTAGTGACACCTGGAGTGGGAGACTTATACTTCTGAAGCACAAATAATGATGTAGGCCAATGTTAACATAATATATATATATATATATATATATATAAAATAAAAATGGGTCACCACTCAGAATCTACCCCAAATTTCTAGCAAGTTTTCCTCTTTTCTTACTGCCTCCCAGCATCCTACCATATTCTCATTTCTCTAAAACCTAGTTTTCTTTTAACCTTACCTTACACACTTTTTCACTGTTTTGCATTTTATCTGTGTTTTGGACTGATTTGGCTATTCCTCAGGAAACAGAGAGAGACAACTTTTGTTTAAGTGTGGAGTTTTGCACAATATCCTCTTAGTTTTCCTTCAAGGTCTTTCTGAAACATGTCTATGTGCCTGAAAGTCTGTGGAGGATTGCAGGAGAGCTGCAATGGCAGCGCCCGAGGCAGAGTGGCATGCCTGCTTAGTAAGCATCCAGACCTCGAGTTTATCACCTGGATGGAGGGGTATGGTTGTCATTTGCCACAGGTTCCATTCTCAAGTGGTACTGGGAAATTCTGTAGCTCCTCTTCCCTAAACTCATCATTTGGACCAGTTTCTCCAAAGAGTATTTACTTAACTATCTTAATTCAATGTGACTCTACCTAAGAGATTTAATTCAAACATATATTCAGCACCCCTGTAAGTGATAACTTTGTCTTTCACAAGATATCCAAGATCACTTTGCAAGTTAATCCCCATGTCTTCCTATTTGACTACTTAAAAGAGCTAGGAGTCAACTGTAAACAGAAATATTTCTACTATTTATGTTTCTTTTAACTTTTCTGAAAATGTTTAGTAAACCATTGCCTTATCCTTTATAAGGCTATTTCTTGCTAGGATGGTTAACTTTGTGTGTTAATTTGCTTGTCCATGGTGCCCAGATATATGGTCAAATATTATTCTGGATGTTTTTTGAGGCTGTACTGATGAGATTTAATTCTGTGGACTTTGAATAGAGTAGATTGCTCTCTATCCTGTGGGTGGGCCTCATCTAATCAGCTGAAGGCCTGAGTAACACAAAAGAGTGACCCCTCCAAACAAGGGAGAATTCTGCCAGCACAGTCTTTGCATTTGAACTGCAGCACCAGCTCTTCCCTGGATCTCCAGCCTATCAGCCTTCCCTGTAGATTTGGTAATTGCCGGCCTCTGTAATCATATAAGCCAGTTCCTAACTCAGTATCCCCACTCACTACCCAGGTCTTTGAAGTGGAAGATTCCAAGATTCCATCTTGGCAGAAGAGGATACCTTGGGTAGGATGGGAGTTTGTTGAACCTTCTGACTATAGCTAGAAGGGAAGAAGGAATCGGAGGCCAGATTCATGGCAGGGTGAATGACATGGCAGAAAGAAATTTGGAGAGAGCCAAGGAAGAGAAGTAGCTTCTTACAATATAAGAAATATAAAAAAGATAATATAAGAAATCATATTGAAATGTATTGAAATATATTTCTTTTCAGTATTGAAAGCAATATAAGAAATCATAAGTCCCTGAGAGAATATCAATCCTCAATGCAATTTGATTGAGTTTAAAATATGCTGAAATTTTTTTTTTCAGCTTCCATTTTCTTTTTATGTATGCTTTATTCTGTGAAGTTATTTCATTCAAGCTCACAGTACTGAACGATTGCCTGTTATACCTTCAAACCATTCTTATGGTTGTACCTTCAAACCATTCTTATCACATTGGTGTTGATATGATACTGGGGTACATAGTACCAGCCCTCCACTTCCACCATTGATTCTGGCCTGTTTTCTGTGCACAGAAAACAGAAAAGCTTTCCTTCTTTCTTAGAAACCATATAGATATACCCCAATTTATGCAATGAGTGGGTTCCTGCAAAAGCGTGTGATACATACATTTGTGAGCTGCTTTATATTTGGGTTTTTTGTCATTTTGTTGTTTTTTTTTTTTAATACACATTAGAGGAGCTGGCTATTTCAAAGAACTTTACAAGCATCTCAGTTCTTATTATCATAAGCCTTTCTGATTCAAGATCTCAACCTCTCATGTATTAGCTTATGAAGTTCCTTTTTATTTTTTTGCTTCAGATTGAAGTAAAGCAGGTAAAACTATGTTAAATCGCATTACATTGCCTAAAAGACTTATTGTACAAATGCCTAACGTATTGCCAGAAAATAATGTCTCCAAAAATGCCAACTTGTCCAAATCAAACTGACTAACAACTTAATCAGGAATAAATGTCACTATTATATCTGTACTTTTCCTGCATTTTTAAAAAGGAAACATTTACACAGTGAAGGGAACCAGAATCTGTTTTATTTTCCCCAAAGTTATAAACATTTGTATCAAAATATTTACAATTATAGTATATGAAATATCAGTCTATTAAAGAAGCCAGATACAGTACTAGAACAACCAACCAATGTAATGCAAATTACATGAAACATAAATGTCACAGAAACAAAGTAAAAGACAAGGAAATATATGGTTCACTCTAGTCAAGTCTGATTTCTTAACATATCGCAAGTATCTCTTTGGATATATCTGATATTTAAGTATGTTTCTGCACACAAGACAGCCTTCTATAATCCCATGATAACTCAATCATAATTAAAAGTTCATCGCTCCAATGTTTTTGCTTGCTAATCTCTCAATGCCTCACCTCGATCATTTGATAGTCTCCTCTCAACATTTCCTTCGACAGAATGAACACAGAGAAATATACTTAGTAATAGTCCTTTTACATAAATACCAGCAATCATGGCATGGCAACTCCCCCAAAGGAAAAGTATATAAGGAATGGGATGAGGAGAGAGCTGGGAGAAAGAAAATAGGCAAGATACCTCAGATTCTCCCTGGGATAGATCTTCTCAAGGAAATAAAGAAAATTCCTTTTCTCTCTTAAACCCCTTTAGGCAGAATCTGAGATGGCTTAAAATAGCTGCTCCAGGCCAGAGCAATGCCTGCTGAACCAGGATTAACACACTACTTCTAAGTCCTTTGTAGAAATGCCTCAGTGGTAGCAGACAGCCGTCAAACTGGGCACCACAGGAGCTTTTACTTTTTTTTTTTTTTTTTTTTTTTTTGCTTAAAGAAAATATCTATTTGCCCATCACCTCTTTTTATGTATCTCATGGGAATTTTATTTTCCTGGGAGTGCAGGCACTCTATTCTTATCACCAAAATCTAGCATGCTTAATACTTTACAATTCTATAGCACCTTTCACCCAAGCATTTTAGTTTTAGTTCATGAGTGTTTTAATCAGCTTCCAAACTGTCTTGCCTTGATTGTGATGTGGGATCATCAGGTCCTCTGAAAGGTGACCAACTGCTCCAGTAACTGTCAAAACTAGAGCTACCACCCAGCCGGGGAGCCCTGACGTCACACTGTTACAAGACTGCTCCTTTTTCCTTTCATTTGTGTGGAGCTTTGGTTAATAACTGAATGGGTTAAGAATGGCTTTATAGGAACTCCAGACATGCCAGGGCTGGAAGTGAGGGGCCAGCTAACTCCACTGCAAGAGGCCTCCACATGGGATGGCTGTGTGGGGTCTGGTCCAGCTTGTGACCATGCCCCAGCCTTCTATTCTGAAAAGTTCTCTTTCTTGGTCTAGCTAGTTCACCACCATGGCCTGAGGATGCTCTCTCTTCCTCCCATTTTGTCACAAATACCACTGAATTCCAGAACTAAGTATCTGCTCTAAAGACAGACACTGGCTCAGGGCCGAGGCATCCTACGGGCTCTTCAGACTAGAATGTGATGCTTTTTGCTATAGGTCAGAAGGGCGGGATGGCTTTCAGGCAGAGTCAATTCAGCACAAAACAGTATCTGTTCGTGCTGGCCCTGTACCGCTATTTTAACTTGGTATCACAGCTCTGAGGTCCTCAGTGCAAGGCTCAGAAGCCGCCCTTAGAACTGGAGCCAGCAGTGTGGGGCTGGTGGGCCCTAGGCAGTGCATGTGACCAAGAACAGCTGAAGGCCCAGCCTGGAGGCTGGAAAGAAGTTCTCTGACCCCTTTCCAGGGAGCATGGAAGTACTAGCCAGCTACTTTCTCCCAAGGCTTGGCTCAAGAGTAGAGAACTTTTCTGTAACAGTTTGGGTTTCAACCTCTCCCACCCTGGATTCCCCTCCCCTGTCCCCCTTCCCTATCCTGGATTTTCTTGCATAGAAACTTCCATTTCCCTCCCACATTCAACTGCTTCCTCATCCCCACCCCCCAGATGCCCATAAATGTATTTGGCCTCATTTCTTTCTCAGGACCAGGTGGACGATGCCGACAATGAGGCTGAAGCAGAAGCAGATCCAGGTCAGGATGAAGCAGTATCCATGGTGACTTTTCGTGAACGTACTTTTACCATTGGCATAATGATGAGTGTAGATGGACACGCCGACCAGAATGCACAGCCCTGCAGGAGGAAAAAGATGCTTTGTTTTTCCGGATTTGTTTTAACATTAAAGCCAAGAAAAAGTTTGTATAATTTTTAGATGATCCTAGTGACAATGGGAAAATGAAATTTGGTGTCTGGTCCCAGCCAGTAGTTGCATTGATATGCCCAGAACCAAGCTTGGGGGTTGCACTGGTATGCTCCAGGTGTTTGGACTCACATCTGCAATGTTCCACGTGGCTGTATCACATGAGCTCACATCCACCACCCAGCCCTCCCATCTGCAGTCAGGATGCCCAGTGGGGCACAAGCTGATAGCCTCCCACTGAACTGTGTGCACTGGGAGGAGTAAGAATGGCAATAATTGGGGCCTCCCTGGTGGCACAAGAGGTTAAGTACAGCGCTGTGAAGCTATGCACAGCCTCTGCAGCGCGAGTTCTATCCCCAGCCAGGGAGCTACCCACATGGTGCAGCAGACCTCTCCTGACTCGCCTGCTGCTCCCCTCGGCAGTGTATTTCAGTCAGTCTGCCTGTTCTGTTCCCACTCTGTCTCTGGTGAATCTTATCGCCCCCCCCCCAACACCTCTGGCCTGTACCCCAGTTCTTATATGCATAAATAAATAAATCTTTAAGAGGGAAAAAAAGAATGGCAATAATTGTGTGCATTGTAGTAGTGGGCTCATCTTTCCAAGGACTCGCACTTTCCTGCCCTACTCAAGAGTCATATACAAATGATAGGGATGCCCACACCCCAGCCCAGGAACAGATGAGGGCTTTGAACCAGGCAGCTATCAGGGGCTCTCAAATACAAAACCACCACCAGGGGAGAAAACTGTATCAGGCATTTAACCAAGCCACATGCCGAAGGCATCAAGGTCAGATCTGTAGGAAAGTTGAGATACTCACAGCACACCAGCATGGTGGCTCCCGAGAAGAAGAAGCGGTTTCCTTTCTCCAGGGTGAAGAGCTGGAACACGAAGATCACAAGGGAGATGACACAGAAGATGATGGCGAGGATCATGAAGGCCTGCACTGCTTTGAGGGCATCTGTGGACACAGGGCGGGGAAATAAAGAACATGTAGTTCACCAGGCACCACACACACACACACACACACACACACACACACACACCCCCCAGGTGGGACTTTCCCTAAGTCGTCAGCACAGAGGGGGACACCATCTCCACATACCTTGATTGCTATATGGCAGAGTTGCATTGCAGCTGCTACCCGTACAGATTTTCCAAAGGCCTGCTGATGCTTTTTCAAAATCAGAAACCACCCAGACCTGCAGCCAGAAGGAAACAAAATGTTGGTTAGAAACCGACCATTCTGCTGTGAAATAAAAAAGAAAGAACAGCTCTTGTCAGGACCAAATCTTACACAGGACCCCATGGTTAGCTATAAATGTGGCCAAGCAACCTATCTCTTGGTTGAAATAAGATCTGACTAAAACAGAAGTCACAAGGGGTCCAATGGAGAAGAGAAGCTTGGGTGATGGGAGAAGTACTTCCTTGCCTCTCTGGGCTTCATATTTCTCATCAGCTTAAAAAGAAAATAAACTAACCCATCGTTTAAAATGTTAAGCTTTTAAGAAACAGAAATGTGGGTGAGGAAACTGATTTTCAGTATGCATAATTCAAACCCTGATCAAGATGGACCCATGGAAGAGCTCAGCTCATAAGAGAAAAATAGAAGGAAAAAAAATAGAAGGAGATACTAAGAAACACAAGGACAACTAAGAAAATGCTGTGACCCTGGGTGTCAATGAACAATCTTCCTCTCAACAGGAAGTTCAACTTTGTCACACCCTGCAAAGTTGGGCGGTATGGTAGAAGCTTTGCTGTGGGGGCAGCTCAAAATCCAAATGGGACCATGCTGTATGCCCCAGGCTCACCTCACTGCAAGGGTTCCTTCTACCTGGCCAAGAAAAGCACTTAACCTTCTAGAATGGTCGACAGAACAAACACCCAGCTTTGTGCACACAGTGTGCCCGTTAAAATGCGCATCCCTGGAAGGACAGGGTCCAGCAGGAGCAACTTCTTGCTCTGGATTCAATAAATGAATGTGTGCCTTGCCCTACTTAAGGGGCGTTAATTCAGATGTTCAGCAATTTGGTTAATATGGTTTGAAGTTGTTTCTCAACCTATTGTCCTGATCAACTCAGGGGTGGATGACAGAATAGTTGAATCAGAGGCTAAACCCGACCTGGGCTGGTGCTGAGTCTGATCACAGTTGTTACCATCAATGCTGACAAACTCTTCTAGCTGAAATTTAAAACCCATTTATGCTGTCACTATAATAATGACCTAAATAGATTCTAGAACCATCAGTTGTCTGTATAGTGATTGGTGGTCTGGGTTTTGTGTCCACAGAGCTGTTTTGTCTATTTGTTGGTATTTTCCTTTTTCTCTTTTCTTTTCTTTCTTTTTTTGAGAAAAGCAAAAAAAAAAAAAAAAAAAAAAAAAAAAATGGGTGCTCTGAGCTACCACTAGAGGTCACAGTAGCCCAAGGTTCAGAAAGAAAAAGTTCCTGCTAGTTCTCCGGCATTTTATTTGAGTTCATTCAGTGGAACCAAGTTGATCTTGCAAAATTCCATTTTCACATGCTACTCACTGCTCAAAACTTGAATGGGTTAGTCTGGCCACCAAAGCTTCTTGTCATCTTATTCCACTGACCTTTCCCACCAAGGTTCCAGAAGGAAACTACCTACCCACTGGGTGTCCCAGTATAGCCTGAACAGAGCAAGTACTTCCCACCGAGGGGGAAATGCATGCCCATGCTCTTCCCACCAGCCCTCTCTCCCCCAGAGACAGCCCACCCAGCCCGCTGTCCTCCTAGCTGTCTCCCCAGAAGAGGCCCTGGACATCAGAGAGGCTTCCCTGTGTCCTCCACCTCCAGATGCCTGCAGTCCTGGCAGACTCTCTCAAGGAGAACTGACTCTTACCCTCTTGCACTTTCATAGCTTGAAGTGCAAGTGTGTCCTTATTTTCTGCCCATGCCAAGGAAACTTTTCGTTCACAAAGGGCAGGGGCGGTGGCCGAAGCATCTTTTGCAGCATTTGATGTAAATACTGGAATAAGTTCTGAGTGAATGCGTGGATTACAGGCCAATACTCACGTTGGCAATGGTGGAGACAAACAGCATGATGGCCGTGGCGATGTGGACCACAAAGATTGAAGCCAGTAAGACCAACATCTTGGTTTTTCGATGACTTGGAGCAAGGAGAGTTCTGAAAAGAGAAGGAAAAACAGAGGGACAAAAAATGTGACTGTCAGAATCAATAAGACCATTCAGCTTTCTCACCCATGGAGACTCTGCTAGTTGCAGAAGTTGCCATAAAACCCACCATAATTGCGCTGTTATTCCTGAAAACCCCTGTGAGCTTAGTTATGTATGCACCGTGAACTTACTTCTGCTTCTCAGATATTTGTATGTTCATCTCTCTAATCCAAAAATAATATTTTAGGATAACTGTTCATATTTCATTTTGTGTCTAAGAGGCTAAAAGCAGGACTTCGAGTTTGAATAGGCCCTTTTTGCAGCTGTCATTTCCAGATCTCTGTGCAACCATTATACATATTTCCATGTTCCATTAGGGAAGACTCCATACCTCTCTCAAACACCCCCGCCCCCAGCAATTTTACTAGAAGTGGATGCCTTCTGAAGAACAGCAGCTATTACTCAATGCCTGCAAACTGAATAGGCTACTAATTTGATCCCAAGAGATATAAAATGTGAGGGCCGCAACTGCTATGATTATAGCGCTGTTTGGTATCCAATAATTATAACAACCTGATGATGGTTTAATAGTCTGATCACCTACTGAATGAATATCCCAGGCTTGCGTTACTACGCCTGAGCCTCTGGGCCATGTATGTCTTATAGTGCGGACTCTGCACCGACTAGATTAAGACCGACTAGATTAAGAAAGTGCGTAGGTAAACAAAAGCGTGCAGCCAGGGTCTCTGCAGCATAGGAAAGGGAGGCCATGCATCATAAAAAGGAGGAAATCAAGGCAAGGTGAAGAACGCACGGGGGGACCGTTCTGACGAAGTCCGCTGCAGGCGGATGGGCAGGCTTACGGGGACCTCAAAAAGCAAAGGGCTGGAGGTCACTGACCAGAGGCAGGGTGGCTGGGTGCTGGCCCCACCTAGGAGGCAATGGTGACGGCAGGGCGCCTCCTGTGATCGCCCCACTTCTCGCTCTCACTCCACCTAATTTAATTGAAGCTTGGAGTGCGCCTGAGTCACTGCAGACTGCACGGGCTGCGACCGGCTCACACAGACTCTGTCATCCTGACACTCCTGGTGCCTTTTATCTCCTCTCAATTTCCTCCTCGGACACTCAAAATCTAGAAGGAGCTAAGGTACACTGTGCACCGGGGCGCCCGCCTCTCTACCGGACGGGAAGGAGAGGCAGATACTGGCTCCAAGCACCCCACCCCTCCCTCCTAAGCCCAGCACTGCCCCCCCCCTCACCCCAGCGAGTTCATGGAAATGTGTCCCACTGCACTGTGAACTACAGAAAAATGATGAAGTCTATGTCGCCACCTCAGGGAGCACTCAGAGCTTTCGTGTGTAATTCAAATTCCTTCTTGCGTCTCTCTCCGGTTCTTGCACACCCCACAATTTTCTGCTTGACTTTAATGCACAACGAAAAGAGGTTTTGGAATGAGACAGAGGTTGAGTTTGAATCATAAAAGTTATTTGCGCTTTCCCATAGGAAATGGGGGTGGCAGGGCCAGGGGTTTAGGGCAACGTGAGCTCAGCACAGTGTCTGGCCGCTCATGATCTGAATTGGGGTGTTTTACTGTTCCTGCCAGCATTACCACTATTATTACATGAAGCTGGGCAGCTGTGGCCAACACAACAGGGTCACTTAGTCAGCATGCCCCATGCTGAGCGCAAGTAAGACAATATCTGCTCTCCGGCCACAAGCAGAGTGTATAAAATCACATTGGTTCTCTTAGAAACTGCCATCATGCCTAGCTCCTGCCCCTTGAATGGGAGACCCTTGCAAATGCACACTTGGGAACAGCCAGGTGAAAAAACACTCTTCCGAGCCCTGTCCTGGTATCTTCCTGAGACCAGGATGGAGCCACACCTTCACTCCATCCTGGTCTCACCCCTTGGGGGAAGGGGAAGGAACGGACAGACGGCCAGAAACTGCAAGTGTTACACAACAAGTCTTATATTTAATCCTCCTCGGGCACTATAAATGACTTTTTATTCCTTTTGCTTCTAATTTGTAAACATCCTCCTCCTGAGAGTGGGAAGCGGTTGAGGGGCCCAGACTGCAATATAATACACCAAGTGAGGTCTGTTAAATGAAGTCCAGGAAAATACTAAGTTCTCCCTCTTCCCACCCCCTCTTCCCCAATTAGGGGCATTTCTGGGAACTGGGCAGCATTTTCTGTCTCCTGGGGTAGCTATGGAACCCTGTAAAATCCAGTGGGATTCCTTTTGCCCCTGCTCACCCTCCATCTTCATGACTTGACCGTGATGGATTTCACATCCCATTTGCTCAGTGTACGCAGAGAGTCACCCTGCTTATCTGCTCCCTGGGTGGGCAGGCGAGGTCCTGGCCCTGCACCTCACTTCTGCTCATTATCCCTGCCCATTGCAGTTTGGAGGAGCGGGTGGGGGACTCCATCAAAGAAGTGACCCTTTTATCTCAGATTACTGTGATCCTGCCACATCTACTCATCAAGGACAGGAGCAAAATGTCTTGCATCACTAAGTGTCCTTAAGGGGGAGAACACACAAAACTCTCAGGTTTGGGTTGCTGTTGTTTTGCTGGAGAATGCACACAACTTCCCTGCCTTTGCACTGCCCCTCATTTGTCAGGTTTCAATAGTATCATCCAGCAGCGAGGAACATCCTCTATTTTCAGCAACCCATTTGGAAACAGAATGTCCTGTCATCTTAAAATTCTAGCCTGGCTCATCCCTGGTTCCCCAATCTCCCAACAGAAAAATCCTCAACTGCTGGGTAGAGGGAGGCAACCTCTGAGATCTTGACAACTATCCCCAAGTAGCACCCAACGGGGATCTACAAAGGGCAGAGCGGAGAGGTATAAACAAGAGAAGACCCCTCCCACCCGTTACTGGCAGGACAACTTTGGGGGAGACTACTATCCTGCCCTGGTGTATACCCGGCTTCCTACAAAAGCACTGGAAAGAGACCATTTCTGAGCATTTCTGTCCCTGGGAGCATCGGCTGCTACTTTTGTTCTCAGCAGCATGTTTCACAAAAACAATAATTGACTTCTCCCTCACACCTCTCTAAGACCTTACGGGTGAGACTCCCCAGTGGAAAGTCACCGGCTTGTCATCGCTGGGCAGCTCACAGCAGGAAGTGGAGGCTAACGGAACAGCAGCTGCCAGTCTCCCACAGAGCCTCCGGGTGCTGGGGCAACCTGACCTTAGCCAATGATGTTGGGAAGCCCTCTAAGAACAGCCTTCCCTGGGTGCTGGGATGCTCAGACCCAGGCCCTCAGGGTGACGCATTTGCTGTTCTGGAAGGAGAGGACACCCACTGACTGGTCGCTGTGGAGTGTCAGGAATTCAGTTCTCCACCTACCACAGCAAACACAGTAGGGCCCCCACGTTGCCCCAAACCTCCCCCACATGCTGGGAACAGGGCTGGCAGGGCTCGGTGGGAAACAAAAAAGTAGAGGAGGCATGAGTGAGTGCTAACGCTCCGAAGAAGAAACTGGCGAGAACTGGAGGCTACTGCCGTGGAGCCACCTTTGGTTCTGTTAGCCCTTTTCTGTTCTTCTTTCTGTACCCACAGAAGTCCTGCCAGTTCCCCTGCCAACACTGGCATCTTTCTGGGGTTCTGACATGCTTCCCCTTTTCTTCCTGCATTGCCAGGACCACATCAGAGCCGTCGTCTCTTTAAGCTCTGTCCCCAAAGGCCAGCCTCTCAGCCCTGGGCCATTCTAGCTTTGGATTAAGTATTTTGCTAATAGAAAATGTACTACAGTTAGTGAGGCCATCTCTGAGGACTGTGCTTGCTGGTTATGGTCGATGTCAGTGACGAACTAAGCTGGGAGAGAGGAAATGAAGGGCTAACTCCCTGGCTAGCTGTCTCCCTCCACTTAAATCTTTATCGGTTTTACATATTCCCCCCAGAATCAAAGAATCAAAGGGACATAACTCTGAGACAGCCTTACACTGCCTCTCTGCCTTTATTCAAATAACTTAACCCTTTTAGGGTCTTTAAGAAAATAATCAGGTCCCCTGGACACCATTCTTTTTTTAAAGGGTAACTAATACTGCAGAGACTTAATTAACAACCAAAGGAACAATAGGAAAACATAAAGTTTGGAAATGTAGCTCCCTAGTTGCTAAGCTAAGGGGTCAGATCACTTTTTCCTACCCTGCCTGAGGTCTACGTGTTTATTGAGCTGAGCTAGAGTCTGGGGGTGCAGTTGTTTAGGGGTGATCAATGGCACAATAATTGGGAGCAACACAATAGCTATTCAAACCCTACTTCTCCAGCAAAGGAAATGATAAAGATCCTGGATTGAGTCCCTCAAGAACTAACCCAAGGCTGGGACTACAATTTAATCAGAAACAGGGATTGGAGACTGTGGGAGCAGTGGGGAGTCCCGCAGAGCTCATGTGTCCATGATTCATTCTCAAGTGGGTGAGGTTCTCCCAGACACAGACAAGAGGAGACACCCTCTACCAGATGGCCTCAGAGAGCTTCCTGAGCAGCTTTTCTTGAGGATCTGGCTGACTAGCTAAAAGACAGTTTAGTCATTTCCCTGGTGGCCTCAGAGAGCTGAGGCTTTCTTGTGGAGAAGAGCAATTGTAGCCAGCCTCTCTCCTTCTTCCCATGCCAGGTCTATTGTCCAAACATCATGGGCAGGTCATGAATTCTACCTTCGTTACTTATCTTCACACATCCCTTATTTCCCAATTCCATCCTAGCCTGGACCATGGCATCAGCCTCTCCCGTGAGGATCTCTCTCTGTGAACTACCCACCCCCAATACATCCTCCATTCTGCCACTGGTTATCTGCTCAAAATCCCCCAAACACCCACAAGCCCCATATTCAATCACAGGAAAGAGATTCTGGGAATCCTAGAAATTTGCTTTATACTACCCAGAAAAAAGTCCTGCTTGTATGTCCTTCCTCCAGAAACTAACCTATCAAAATCTTTTCAAGAAACTCAAGTGCCACCTCCTCTAGGAAGCCTTCCTAGATACAGTGCTCAGA